ATTTACTACCAAAGTCTTCATGTTTCTATACTCTCTTTCACCTATTATGGCCGACAATTTCCTGTAATTTAAATATTATATAAATATGATATTTATGTGGTCAGTGTGCAGCGGCAAGCCATGGCGGCCAGCAGGCGTCTATGTTACAGATAAGCATTTTGGACGGCATTTACAGGAATTGTCGCAATCATAGGTGAAAGGAGAGATTAGAACATGAAGACTTTCGTAGTAAATTAGATTTAGTACTTATATTTAGCAATTATATTTTATTCTAAACGCTGCAGTGCCGTGTGTTTACACGCTCGTTCACAATTAGACGCTGTCCACGCCGTGGTATTCGTTCTCATCTGCAGTCTCCGCGTGTGCTGCCGTACATATAATACACACACAACACACCGCATGCAGCAGCAGCAGCAGCGGCCCGCCGCGGCCACATGCTGCGCGTTGTACGCGTGTTTGTTTTACCTAATTACCAAAAAACACAGTTCTTGGCCATCAGCGCGTGCGTACGAGAGCACTTTCTCAACCCTCCCCCAACCTTCGCTGTCTGTCTGCCGTTCGATAGTGTAAACCCAGCTTTATACGATTTAACATCGCACCAAATAAAACACACGCACATCGAGTTCAACTGAGATCAAGCGCAACTGAGGGTTTTTTACGCTCACACACACGCACACACACACACACACACACACGCACACACACACACACACGCACACACACAAACACGCACACACATGCAAAACAGGTCGACTGTAAAAACGGGCTAATACGTGGTGATGCGTGAGAGATGAAGCACTCGTTCGCTTTCGTACACCAACAGAGTAATTTAAGCCGGGTTTACACTGACGATTTTAGGCCGATTTTATGCAGACGACTTGGCGTTTTTCTTCTTTCTACCCACCTCACTATAAATATTTAAAGCGCTGACGTTATCGACCGCGAGGCGGTAAACGTTTCAACATTTGACCCGTAGGTACGCGCGGGGCGACGCCGATACGAATTTTTGCATGTATTCCACGCCGCCAGTGTGGCGCGATAGCAAAATCGTGCTCTCCCCCTAGGGTGGAGGCGCACACGATTCGCGTCTGTTCTCGACTACAAAGCAACAAGCTAGGTGTTTCGGCACACGATGTCAGTGGGGGAGGGGAACCCGACACATTTGTCTTACTGAAGACACCGGTGATTTATGGGATAGGGGCCAAAGCGCCCGCGTTTTATTCGTCCTAACAAGCCGTGCAAATACTTCCTGTTCCATCGACCACATCAAAAAAGTGCGTGCCCTTTAAATGTCATCTCTACAGCGACAAACGACCATAACAAATGTCGAATGGCTAGTGAATTCATCACAAAGCCTTCCGCTGAATGCTTCTACCCTTATTCAAAATCACACCCGAAACAGTGACCTCCCACAATATATATATATGAGAGAGAGAGAGAGAGAGAGAGAGAGAGAGAGAGAGAGAGAGAGAGAGAGAGAGAGAGAGAGAGAGAGAGAGAGAGAGAGAGACAGAGAGGGGAGAGATAATCCCCACGCATACGCGCATCGCATCCACGTAGCCGTGGACGAAAACACTGGAATCCAAACCTGCATGGCGCAAATTACAAATGAGAAATTTAATTCTGCACGTAGATCGTACAGGGGGGGGGGGACAAAACGTCTACCTCTCCCGCCTGCTCGTACGTACGTGATCAATATCTGACATTATCAACATAAACTGTCCACAGCCACACACCCACAAAACTAATTCCTCTACAAATAATCCGCGTAATATCAAGAGCGATACAACGCCGTAAACGTGAATCATCGGCAGATAGAATGATCAGATAAGGACGCACAGGTGAACCGCGTGTGCGTGCGTGTGTGTGTGTGTGCGTGCTTGCTTGCGTGCGAATGTGTGTGCGTGCGTGTGTTCGCGTTGAGTGTGCGCTTGAGAGACTATCTGTATACTTTGGGTTTACACATGACAGACAAACAAGGCCCGGTTATCATCAACTCTCTTGGCACGTGGTTGTTACCGCGTCTCCATCAACTACTAGTTCAAACAAGCTGCTATGTACGTACGTACGTACGTCCGTACCAACACAGCACGCGCACGCACGCACGTACATACAAATTACATGCGATCGACGAAGGTGGCATATCGCATCGCAACGACTTCGCTCTGACAGTTCTAGCCTTAGTACTATAGCTTCTGTTCGCCACAGGATAAGGGCTATAGTACCAGAGCTAGTTCAGTGCTAACTCTAGTACCATAGCCCCTGTTCGCCACAGAACAAGGACTATAGTACTAGAGCTAGCTCAGTGCTAACTCCCAATAGCGCTATCACCCTTTCAGCCGCGTGTCAGTAATACAGCATTTCTGCTAGAGGCTGTGCGCGACGTTGTACCGCAGTGTGGCGACAGCTGCGCCGGCGAGGGGAGCCGCCCTATCAGCAGACGATTGCCACAAAGCGACGGACTCGGCAGCAAAACTCTAAACACCTCGCACTACGCGTACCCGCGTGTGTGTGTGTTTGTGCCGCGTACATACACGCACACATGGCCTCGGGTGCACAGGTGTTGAGGCGTCGGGTACGGGGTGTGGGTGGGTGGGTGTGGGGGGAGGAGAGCGTGAAAACACCGTCTCAATGGGGAGGAATATACCGTGACAGCGCACCCGCATGCAGGCCGCAGCATTATTGAGGCCGCGATTCGCTCAGCGTCGTCGCGCAGATCCATCCATTTGTTACGAGTGGGATTTCAACGATTCCGTGGCACACGTCTGCATGTCAATGCGCCGGCACTCCCCGGCGATGCATCTTGACACGGGTGTAAAGCAATCTTGCAAATAGACAGTGAATATGCCCGCGGGCAATTCGCGTTGTTGTCAGTGAATCTATTCATCTAAAAGGCCAACAAAGACCCGCAGAGCGGTGCAAACGACAGACTGCACATGTGCGTTAAAGTGCAGTAGCCGAACAGGCATGCAGTAGCTGTTATATGTATGTATATA